CCTACACGACGCTCTTCCGATCTCCCCAAAACCCCAAAACCCCATTAAGGATAATAGATGAAATTTAGTGTGATAAATTATTAAAAATTCTTCAAATTTAAAATGTTGAGAAAATTAGCTTGTAATGCTACAAATAGTGGAGCAATAGATGATGAAGGAAATGTATTTGTCTGGGGAGCAGGAAAATATGGATTGCTTGGCAATCCAAAACAAAAGAATCCAATATCAAAGCCCATTAAACTTCAGCTTAAATCGGAAAAACTCATCCTGGACTACAGCAGTGATTAGACTTTCGTTGCAACATCCTTATCTTTTGGTTAATATCATGCTGCTCTTGTGGTAAATGATATCAATACAAATTCAGACTATAACCCATTACTTTATGCCGAAAGTATTCTAAATGAATTCAAGGCATATTTAATGAAGACTTGGGACAATATAGTTAAGAAATAACCAGAGCATTCTGCTGATGTTTATGCAACAGAAGAGCATATTGTCGAAAATACATTGAAGCATTCATTTAGTAAGCAGCTTTAAACCTTTCCTTATATAAGCACAATCTCCCTGAAAGAGTTAATGGTTAAGGCTAAACTATCATTCAAGGATACTGTGAGTTACAATAGACTCTTTTAGGATCTAGCTGACCCTAATGATGAGGATAAAATCAATTTAAAGTAACTAAAAATTCTTGAATAACTTCAAATATAGAGAACTGAGAGATTAACTTGTCGGGAGAAGATGTGGAAATGGTATTGTCTTCACTTGGGGTATAGTAAATGATGGAAGATTAGGCATCTAATTAACTGAAAAAGAGTAAGAAGCCATAGAAGAGAGAAACCAAGAATTAGTTCCATTCAAGCCTTCAGTAGTCAAATTTGATGAATCGGTAATCATTCTGAAAGTGAGTTGTGGAAATTCATTTACTTTGGCTTTAAGTCAAGATGGTTAAGCTTATTCATGGGGGTAATTTTTTTAATTTCAAAACATTTTTAGGCTTGGAAACAGTGGTGGGCTAGGTTTAGGGGAGACAAACATTAGTATGGTACCTCAATTAATTAGATATCAAAAGAATGGACATTTATTTTAAAACATAAAAGATATAGCTTGTGGATCTAATCATGTTTTGGCTCTTGATTAATAAGGATTAGTTTATTCTTGGGGTAATGGTTAAGGTGGTCGATTGGGTCATGGAGATGAAACAGGAGAAAATATACCAAAGGAGATTAGTGATTTAAGAGATTAAAAAATTTTATTGGTTGAAGCTGGCGAAGGAAGTTCAGCAGCCATTACTATTAAAAATGAACTATATGTATGGGGAGTAGGACTTCATGGGAGATTAGGCACTGGAAAAACCAGCAATGTATTGAAACCAGTTTTATTAGAAGATTTAAGGGATTAAAAAGTTGAAGATATCGCTCTTGGCTCTAATCATTCTTTATGTATCTTGAGAAATGGAAAAGCTATGTGCTGGGGATCATCCAAAGAAGGTAAAATTGGATTAGAAACTGCTCTTGACAGAAATTTCACTCAACCCAAGGAGTTAGTTACTCTTGAAAAAGAGAAAATGTATTAATTTGCTGTTGGACCTTTTCATTCTCTGGGCCTAACAGAAAATGGGCATATCTATTCATTTGGAAATAGCAAAGACGGAAAACTAGGTTATGATGAGCACAAAACCTGTGTATAAATTCCAAGAAAAATTACTAATGGCCCAATTTTTCAAAAAAAGAATGGATTAAATGACAGAAAAGACAAATATCAAATTTTTAGTCAATACAATGATTAAATGACAGTGATATCACAGCACGATCAAATCGGAGGTTGTGAAATTATTTAAGCTTCTGTAAGTTTTAAATTACAAATATTAAAAATAATAGTGTGGATTCAACAGTTCAGTATTCCTGCTTAATGATGGGCAAATGTATGTTTGCGGATCAAATAAGTATGGGCAGCTAGGATTCAGCAAGAGATAAGGGAAAGAATCTAACAATAAAGATGGTGGTAATTTCGGAGGTTTTAATCTAGGAAATGATGATGATGATGAAGATAATAACTTTGGGGATAAAGCGAGCGATGATATTTTACCACCTTAATTAAAGAAAAAATTGGCTGAACTATAACTATTATAAGATGTAGATAAACCTACTCAGCTTATAATTTATCATGGTATCTTAATATGGTTTTTTATGAATTTTAGATGCTATACAAATGAAAGTTAGGTTTGTGGCTACTGGCTATTTTCATGTTTTAGCAGTTACTGATGAAGGAGCTACTTTTGGATGGGGTAGAAATGATTCAGGATAGTTAGGAATGGGAAGAAAAGATGTTGCTGTTACCAGGCCTACAAGGATTAAGTCACTTTAAGATAAAATGATTATTATGACGTAAATTATTTATATTTTATTTCTAATATAGTGCTGCTGGAGAGAGCCATTCTTTATTTTTAAGTGATTTAGGGGAAGTTTTATGCGCAGGATTCAATGAATTTGGAGAATTAGGAATAGGAGCTAGCTCTGCTGGTGGAAATGATAGAAGAGAAAATGAGGAGGAGTATGATGAGTAATATCAAAGATAAATGATTGAGACTAAAATCGAACTCACTCCTAAAGTTATTAAGGGGTTGGAATCTATCGGGTATATTGCTGCTGGAAAAAATCATTCAATAGCTATAAGAACCTATAAAAGAAAGGAGAAAGAAATGAGAATGTATACTTGGGGTTGTGGATGGCACGGTTAAACTGGTCATGGAACTTGGCATAATGATTATGTTCCTAAAATAGTCAAGGTTCCAGTCTTAAAGGATACTAAATTCATTCAAGCAGCTTGTGGTTCAAAGCATACAATAGCTCTAGATACTTAGGGACATGTTTGGTTTTTTGGATATAAACCATCTGTTGGAATCGAGGATTTTAATGAGGAGAAGTAATTTATGCCTGCTAGATTAGAGTTACCATCTAAAATTTAAGAGCCAATTAAATATATTGCTGCTGGTGAGGAACATAACTTAGCTGTGAGCTATTAAGGCAATGTTTATGGATTTGGGAGAAATTCGCATTCAAAGATAAATTCAAATGCTAAAGAGTATCTATATTTTGAATAAATAGAGTAAGATGAAAAAGCTGTTATTTCTGCATGCGGAGCTAACCACTCAGTTATAGTTGACATGAGAGGTGTACCTTATACTTGGGGATTCGTTGGCAATGGCAGATGTGGACTAAAACTAGAAAAAGACGAGGCATAATAGCATGAGGAAGATTTAAGTGCTCCTACAGTTATATATTCACTGAAGATGATGTTTCAAAAAGAATTGGCTAAAATAAGAGAACTGTTAGATGATCATGGGAAAAAAGGGAAAGATTAGGATAAAATGAATTAATAAAGCAAAATAAGATTCCCCATCTAGAAAATTTTAAAAGAATCTTAGTAATCTTTAGATGAAGATAATCTGATAAACTAGGATAGGAATATCTTGATAAAGTTCAATAAACTAGTAGAAGAATTCCATCAAATTATTGAATCCTAAAATAACAAAATGCTGACATCATTTTATAATGCCTAAAATGCCTTAATATCCAGAATTTATACATTCCCTTCGAGAATAGATTTACTTACAGATATTAAAGCTGAACTTCCAAAAGCAATCATAAGGAATAAGCAAATTTATGAGGCTATATTCACTCTACTTTAAATTCATCCATGCTATATTATAAACTGGGTAACTAAGACTACTGTAAATAGATAGCCGAAAGAGGTTATATCTATTCTAAAGATAATATTTGGAGATAAAGAAATTCGAAATGATACCAGAATACTACATACTTTGATGATGATTGCCAAAAAAGTATTTCAATACGAAATGGAGACATATGATCTAAAGGAAATATTATGGGGTAGAACTGATTCAACCTTTAGTCAGTTATTTAACTTGATTTTTGAGAATTAAGACCAAAATAATGCATTTGTTAATCATCTAATAGCATCAATCCTCCATAAGCTATAAAAGTTTTTCAAATAAAAGGTTTAAGAGCATAATAATATATCCTCACCTAAAAAGATAGGCAAGGGCTAACAGTAATACTAATTTGATTATGAATCTGTAATCCAAGGTAATCATTAACTCTTATTTATCAAAATTAAATTAGATTATACCAAAGCCAGATTAAGAATCAAGTTTCTAATAGATTTTATGAAGATTACCTTAAATAAAATGTTGAAAGCTTTAGATCCTTAATTTAAGCAGAAAACAGGAGGAAATCTCAGCATTGAAATTATAAGTTTGGTTTACACTATTAAAGAAGAAATCAATAATAAAAGAGGCAATGATATCACTTAAGAAGAGATTGACTCATATGTTTTAAATTTAGTCTTTGAGATCCTATTCAGAAAACTGAATGAACTTAATGAGCAGAAGATTAAGGACTATTATTGGAATCTGATTCCATTAAAGAAGAATTAGGATCATGAACCAGATCCTGAGATCTTTAGTTTTGGTGAAAAGCGTAATCTTATCACAGTACTGTCAGATCATATTGAGAAATACATTAGAAAAATCAAAATTCACTATACCAATGATCCAGTAGAGGATTTAAAAGATTTTATAGCTAACAATAAGTAGAATTTCAGAAGAGAACTAAGTGATCTGTTGAATATTTAGCCGCTCAATTTTCAATATCTCTTAGTCAAAGATCTGTTTATTAACTCTATGGATTTTAAAAATGGAAATCTCTGCATTTCAATAAGTGATTTGATTTTCATTTTCAACAATCTAGTAGAAAAAGGGGATATCATATATATCACTAATCATGAAGAAGACCCAGTGGCTATGTTAGTTGGAGAATTAGGAAACAACATAATAGAAGTGAAGTAAAATGAAAGATAGTTTATATCTGAGGAAATGCTTGAGTAAAAAATAAATCTTGAAATTAGACATAGACTTCTGATTGAATATAATACATATACAAAATGCTATGAGTGTAATGCTCCTGTATATGCTGATTTGATTCCTTATAAAAGATTTAGAGATGGAACATAGGGAAAGACTTGGCTGTGCTAGAATAATGATTGTAGAGAAAAGAATGATCCAAATCAAATGAAATGCTCAAGATGCCATAGATATAGAGATACCTAAAGTATGCCAAAGGATCAAATATTTACCAGATATAGACAAGTTTTTAGTGACCCTGCAGTGAGTATTTTCCAACTCATCCTTATCTACATGCCGATTATTGATAATCATTAAAACTTGGATGATATTATAAACTATGAAATGCAGGTAGAAGAAACCAGAAAAAATGCTGACTATGATAAACTGTAGGTAATCGAAAGATTTAAGAAAAATAAGGCTAACTATATGTTCCTTAACAAAAAGAAAAACGTAAATTTTGAAGATCCTCTAGAGGAAATAGCTGCGGAAAGAGAAGTGGAAAATGAGTTTCTTAATATCATGGAAAGATAATTGGATGAGAGTTATCAGAACAAAAAGTAGCATGAGAAAAAAATCTAGGAGTATTAACTTTTGCTTAAAGAAATTTAAGACAAGTTAAGCAACTACTATCAATAGAATACTCAAGTGAATGAAGAATTCAAGCTTATCATAGAAAATGCATATACCGGTTTAGGCTCTGATTTCCTAAAAGGGGAGAAATAAGATATCTTTGCTGGAAAACTTCATCTAAAAGGAAATAAAAAGTAAATTCAAATTCCAGGAGCAAGCTCCAAGAATAAATAACAACTTTAAGCAAATCCTTAACTTGAAAATTTTTTCGTTGACTTGGAAAAATAAGCGAACCAAACAAATGCAGTACTGCAGACTAACTATTAGGAAATATTGCAAAACAAAGAGATTTATAAGTAGAACTTTGGATTCTTCGGAAAGTATCCACTGTATCAACTTAGACAGAGAAAAGTGTTAAACAACATTCAAATTCATGGTAAAAAGCTGTAAACTGTTATGAAAAAATGTTCGTATGTATTTTATGATGACAGCGATAATGGATTCAGAGTTGAATTAGTTTATGAAGAGAGTGATAAGAAATGCTTGGTATTCGGAAACACTTCTCATGAGGCAATTCTTGAGACTTTCATCATTGATAAACACTCAGTAGCGGAGATGAGAAGAACATTTGCTACTAAAGCAACTATATAGTTTGGCAATTCAGAGTTCAATGTTTTTGAATTAGTTTTCTTGTTGAATGAGATCAAAAGCAAAACTTATTCTTATCAGGTTTAATAACAAGCTTAATAGTAAAACTAAAAAGATGGGAAAAAGAAGGTAACAGTATCATTTTAAGTCGCTAGTCAGGGTGCTGAAAAAAATAACCTGATAATGGCAGCTGAAGATATCTAAGAATCAAATAGGAAAAATAGAGAAATTAAGGAGAATAATAGAATTTGAGAAAAAAATTATAATTCTAATGACCATTTAATAAGATTTCTAATCTTAATTTCATAAATTCACTTATCATTTGAGTAGTTTAACCTTGTGGGGTTTTGGGGTTTTGGGG